CCATTCTCTCTCTTTAACTTTTCAAAGATTATGTATGATTATACTAGATTCATCTCATTAGTAAGATACATGTACATCAATTAGATGGTGACTAATCATTGATGAATGCACCTATATATACAATAAGACTAATGCTAATACATTGAATGTGATGGATTTATTATGAATGAATCTTAGAGATGCATTATGTATCTATTATGAATATGTAAGATACATTAATCTATCTAATGAATTCATTAATATAGAAGATGCATTATGTATCATGAATGTATGAGATACATTAATCAATTTAATGAAGTTCATTGAATGAATAACTTGAGAGTTTCTCTCTCTAGACTACATCTTCTCTCTATAAATACATCTAGTTCTAGTGATCTTCTACCCTAGTTCCTTTGTATTGAGTGTGGAGCTTCCCTTGATCTTCATTTTAATATGAAAGTTTGGCGATTTGGAGCACTTTGGTTTTTGGCCTTCATCTTCTCCATTTGAGGTAGGGATTTCTTTGTTCTTTTTCAATACTCCGTCTATAGATAGACATGTGGTAATTTTGTATTGCATGAAAATCATATCCGTGTTGGATTTGTTTGAAAATCATGAGGGGAACCTAGGGTTGGTTGTTTGAGAATGGTTTTGTTATCATTGACTGTGGTTTGGACTAATTAGAGAATAAAATTAGCATGATATTATTGAAAGAAGCGAAAGCCCTAAATTATATTTTGATTTGGTAAAATAAAAAGGGTTTATGGTTGAACAATGTTGGTAAATTTCTATTGTTAATATGAGTTGTGTAGAAGGTGTTAACAGTTAAAGGATTAATTATGGTATTGGAGTTATTTTGAAATGAAAGTAATGAATCAAGTTGGGTTATGGCTTATTATCCATGGAATTGATTTTGTAAAATGAAAAAGTGGGGCGTGACAACTTGGTATCAGAGCGAGCCGGGTTTGAATACTTTGGGCTCGTGGGAAGTAGTTTTTACTACAGTGGGTTTGCTACATATGGTGAGGACGTTGCATATAGTTAACATGAATGTTAGGACTTGTTTGTTGCATTTATATGAGCATGGGATTAAGTTTTCTGGATAGTACTCGTAGCCGGTGAACTTGCTTTGAGGTCCTCTTGGAAACACGCCTGATCAACGTGGTTTCTGATAGGAATTCCTTGAGAGTTCCGGGATGAGTGACTATCTTTATGGACTTGATTCGATTATGTGTTTAAATGTTTAAATGTTTAGATGTTTATATGCAATGGAAATGTATGTTTTGAGACTAAGTGCGTCTTGTGACTTAATAGTAGCAAGCGTCTGCCTCGGAGAAGGCTATTGTGTTATGCACTAAGCGTGGTTATGCTCTTTGGATTTTATAGGATGTCTACACGAGGGAGTAGAGGTCGAGTGAGTAATAGGAGTGCCGAAAGAGGAACAGCAGTTCCTTTAACAACCGCCGTTGCAGCATCAGCTGTCGGCGAGGACGTTGCACGTGAGATTGTGAGAGCAGTGCAGGACGCCCTAGCTCGCACTGAGGGTCACAGGGGCGTGCCCTCAAGCTTACTAAGGAGTTTTTTCGCTCCAGCCCACCAGAGTTTGTGGGGGAGGCTAGACCGTTGGAGGCAGAGAGTTGGCTAGAGCAGATTACCATGACTCTTGATATGCTCAGAGTCGAAAATGGGCGTATCCTTAGCTTACTGTGCATATAGCCGGTAGAGCAGAGTTTTAATTGTTATCGTCAGTGTATCTAAGTATGTTATGGGTTGCGGTAGTTACAGTTTTGAAAGGCCGAGCTGTCTCATTTGTGGATTATATACATGTTGATGATTTGTTATTTCCCTCTTATTTAAGGCATGCATGTATTGATATGAATGTATTGGGAACAAACCAAAATGCCATTTTGAGATTTTGGAAAGTGTGAAGGAAAATGGGGTATTTATGAACATGTTTTTCAAAAAAAGTCATTTTGTTGTAAGTACGGAAAATGGGGGAAGAGTAATGGGCTTGGTGAAATTGTTTTTTTCTAAAACTGTTATAGTCATGAAAGTTTGGAAAAATGGGTAATAAAAAGGAAAAGAAAAGGTGAACCGCTTATAGCGTCGAATGAAATGGCTATTTTCGAGAAAAGTTCATACTTATGTATATTTTGTACAAACTGCCACATTACTATTCTAGTATGAGAATGAATATTCATGATCATAGCTATCTGTAAGTTGTTATTGTTGGAGATCATGTTGAGATTCCTACTGGACTATATGTTCATCCCACGTTGTTGAATCTTTTTCAGGTGATAGCCAGGATGTTCTACAAGGTTGGATCTTCTTATTTGTTGGCCACGGGGCCTCTTTTGTGTTGGCGGAATGCCATTTATGTAAAAAGGGTTATACCCTTCTTCTTGAGTTTTAATGATGTAAGCCCAAGGGCAATTTATTTAGTGTACTCATGTTGTATTTACTTGCATACGAATGAGAGCAATGTTATTCACTTCTACAAGTTGAATATACGAGTTTATTTCCGCATGTTATCTCGGAAACGGAATTAAGTAAATGAAATTGGTAATACTTTGAGTAATAAAAAGTGGGGCGTGACAGCTTTTCTTCTCAACCGCATGCCTACTCTCCTTCTTTCTGGTCAGTCTTCTTATGAGGCTTTGTTCTCCCAAATTTCTAATTACTCCCTCCTTTGTGTGTTTGGGTTTCCCTGTTTTGTCCTTCTCCACAAAGATCGGACCAAACTTAGTGCTCGGTTTGTCCCATGTGTATTTTTGGGTTATAGTCTTACTCAGAAAGGCTATCGGTGTTACAACGCTGTTTCCCATCGTCTTTATGTCTCCCGTCATGTTTCTTTTCTCGAACGTCTGCCTTATTTTCAGCTTCCTCCTATCACTGCTCCAGTTTCCAAAGAGGATTTGGTTCACATTGTTCCATTTCCTTCTGAGGTCTCTCCTGATGAGTACGTCTTTACTGTTCCCCATGAACTTGTTCCCTCTTCTCCTCCTTCTCCCCATCCTGCTCATTCTTCCCCTTCGTTGTTAGTTTATTCTCGTCACCAGGCTCTTCTTCCCCCAATTGTCTCTGCCCTTACTGTTGATCCTCCTACTGTTGACGACTCTGATCCTATTGCACATCGATATCCTACTCGAGAGCGTCATCCTCCAAATAGGTTAGGTTGGTCTAATACACGTTTTTCTGTTTCCTATCGTACTTTTTTGTCTGCTATTCATTCTTTTTCAGAACCTCAGTCTTACAAGGAGGCCTGTCAGGATCCCACTTGGGTTCGAGCTATGGATGAGGAGTTGTTTGTCTTACAGAAGACTAACACTTGGGCATTGGTTCCGTTGCCTGCTGGCAAGAATCTGGATAGTTGCAAATGGGTCTATAAAGTCAAGACTCATTCTGATGGTTCTCTCGAGCGATACAAAGCTCGCCTGGTTGCCAAGGGTTTCTCGCAGGAGTATGATATTGATTATGAGAAGACCTTTGCCCTGTACACGGTCCGGATTGGTTCGGTTCTGAGAAAATCCAAGAACCAAACCGATTCTAACGGTTCAACGGTTTTGTGATTTTGAGAACCAGACCAGACCAGACCATTATACTTGTAAAATCGGACCAGAACCAAACCGAAATAAGGATTCGGTTCGGTTTGGTTCACGGTTTCAAAAATTTCTATTTACAATAATAAATTGTTAATATTAGCAAAATAATTACTCAAACTAATTACATTTAGCTCATGATAAAAATTAATAATATTAAGGCATTACTTAATATTACATATCTATATCATCCTAATATCATTAAAATTACAAAAAACCAATTAATAAAAATAAAACTTGTTATTATATATATATATATATATTTTTTTTTAAATTCGGTTCGATTCGGTTCGGTTCGAACCGTGATTTTTTCATAAAATCCATTAACTGAACCGTTTTTACGGTTCTCATATTTCTTAAACCGAAACTGAACCAATTCTTAATAGAACCGAACCAAACCGTAGGATGCAATCTGGTTCTGTCCAGATTACCAGTTTGAACGGATTTTTGAACATCCCTACCTTTGCTTTTGTTGCCAAGATGACTACTGTCCGTATCTTGATTTCTATTGCTGCTATTCGACATTGGCTTCTCTATCAAATGGACGTTAAGAATGCTATTTAGATTGCCCACAACACTGTCTTCCACGAGCGGACAAAGCACATTAAGATTGATTGCCATTGTGTCTGTCACCATCTGCGGTCTGGCTCTATCTTGCTTCCTTTTGTCTCTTCGGCTTTGCAAGTTGCTGACTTTTTTACCAAGACTCACACCACTGCTTGGTTTTGGCTTTTTCTTGGCAAACTTTCAGTGTTTTCTGCTAAAACACCTTGAGTTTAAGCGGGGGCGTGAGCATATTACATTTCATGTATATATGGTAGTTTATATATTTTGTATATTTTAGGGTTTTTGTTTCCTTTTTTAGTTCTAGGGTTAACTTGCTATATAAACCAATGTATTCTTCTGTTTTATATACAATTGAATATACAGTTTCATTAAGAAAACTTACATTGCCATCTCTCTACACCCCACATAGCACAAGAATTTATCAATTATAGTAAGTCAGGTCTGATATGATTACGTCGCCTAGCGAAAAGCCATTCCAAGAATAAGGGTAAAAGTTGGCATATTAAATTAATTAAAGAAGCTTGTTTTTATTGATTTGGAAGCTTGTTATTCTCGATTTGGCTTTCTCTTCTTTACAATTTTTTAATTCTTATTACATACAATGTCTCCTTACATATTTGAAAAAAATATAATTTCCTTTTAATATCATGTTGTTCTTCTCACATTGGCATTTATCTCCAGGCAATTAATTAGATTGCTAATGTATAAATCAAATTTTGCTGAGGTTGTGTTTTTATTTATTTATTTCTTATTTTAATATATATATTTTTTTATCGGTGTTGTGTATTGCTGCTATATCATTAGTTTGAAACTGTTAATTTAATCATGTTGGAGGTGCTTACTGTTCCAATGCAGGGACATGATTCGGGCTATACGTGATTGCAAAACTGCAGCAGGGGAGCGAGCTGTTGTAAGAAAAGAGTGTGCTGCAATTCGTGCAGCAGTTGATGATAATGATCAAGATTATAGTCATCGTAATATTGCGAAGCTCATGTTCATTCACATGCTTGGTTACCCCACACATTTTGGTCAAATGGAATGCCTGAAGTTAATTGCATCTACTGGATTTCCAGAGAAGAGGATAGGATATCTTGGCCTTATGTTGCTTCTTGATGAAAGGCAAGAAGTACCGATGTTGGTCACAAACTCATTGAAGCAGTATCCAGTCTACGTGCGTTCTACTTTTTCATTGTGTGACTTAATTATTTGGTTTCTTTTCCCTGTCTATTTATGGTGAATAAATTTATCATCAATTACCATCCTTACGGGTTTTCAAGTACACCCCTCCAAAACCTTGACTTATGCACAGTGATCTTAATCACTTCAACCAGTACATCGTTGGACTAGCTCTTTGTGCTTTGGGGAATATATGTTCTGTGGAAATGGCTAGTGATCTTGCACCTGAAGTTGAAAGATTGCTGCAATTTCGAGATCCAAATATTCGGAAGAAAGTAAGTTTTTATAATGGGATCCTTTTATAGCCATTTGTCAAGAACTTTATTAACTCCACAAATGCATAAATTGAATTTACACATTTGGATTTCATTGTGGAAGGGTCATGGCAGTAGCACTTGAAAATTTTCTGATGATTAGAAGTAATTACAATTATTCTAGCATTCTTCTTATGAACTTTGCCTGAAGACAGTTTAATGGGAGCTCACCTTGTACCTTTGGGAGAAACACTTGTACATGAGAACAAAGAGGAATTTGGTGTATGTATTTTGAAACTGCACAAATTAATTCAGAAGATGCAACTATTTGACTCAATTAGCACGATGGAAATATTGTAATTCCCTTTTGATTGCTTTCAAGGAAAAGAGTTGCACCTTTATTCTACCTATGGCCACCTTTTTTTGGAACCCAAAAATATTCACAATCCTAGCATTTTCCCTTTTAGGCTATGTTTGGTTCATGGATTTGGGAAGGGATTTGAAAAGGAAAAAGGAAAAAGTACGTGAATTCATTTACATTTCACCTACCTTTTCCCTTTCCCTCCCCTTTTTCGAATCCCTATCCAAATCCTTGAACCAAACATGGTGTTAATGTAGCAAACATAATAAATTTTGAAGTTTATTTATTTTATGAATCAAAATTTTTTTTCATCTTTGATAACATCAAAATTTTTTATGGTCTTGGATGAGATCATCTTATTTCAAAAGGTAAATTCCATTCAAGATCTTTCCTGAACATCAAATTTTTTATGATCTTGGATGAGATTATCTTATTTCAAAAGGTCAATTCCATTAAAAACTTATTCTTTCTGACAAAAGAACAATAAATTTACATTTGACTTTTTTTTTCTTCTCTTGTTTCATTCTTAGACACAATCGACTTCCTTGGGGTTTGGGGGTTTATTGGTGCTGGAGAGGGGGAGAATTCAAGCCAAGGTTTATAGTTGCCTAGGGGTAAAATAGTAGGGGCGAAGGTTATGGATTTGAGTAGGGATCTATTTCTATATCTCATTTCTCCAAAGGAAGAGTCTCACAAGATTTTGGCTAGGAATATGGGAGGTGTGATCAAAGATCAAGATTTCATTTTAGGTTATTGTTTCATTTAGCACAGAAATGGAAACTTCTTGTAAACATTTCAAAAACATTTTAGAAGCAAGATAAAGAATTTGAAAATATATAGAAATTTTTGAAAATGTAAATTGAAATAATATATAGAAGTCTAATAATTGGATTGATTAAGTAAACATATTGAGATTTATATACTCATTCACATACAAGAACAAATTTTGGAATTCTTAGCAAATTTTATGGGCTTCTCTATGAGGGATTTGAGAATGAAGCTTTGAAACTGTTAGCAACAATGGAAGCAAAAAAGTGGCCATGGATGGATGGAATGTCTGCAAAGAGGAGCTGGGGAAGCAAAGTTAGAAATGGAAGGGAATCAAAGAATCTGGTTAGCAACATTAATTATGATGGTAGAGATAACGAGAGTTGGAGTGAAGGGAAGTAGAGGAGGGGCTTGATGTTGGTATTGTATGGATTTTTGGTCAGGCATTTTTTTAATGGTCTTTAAGGTGTCTATGGATGATTAGGATGTAGGTTTCTTTTTGTTTTGTTTGCTTTTGTACTTGAATGGTGTCCCCATGGCACTTTCTTTAATCTAAATTTTGCTTAATTATAAAAAAAAAATTGTTGTTTTTTGTCGTCCTATTAATTGTTATACAATATGCTTGTTTGTTTTGTTTTTGTTGTTTTTGGTTTTGGTCTGTTTTTTTTTTGTCCAGTGGTTATAGCTCCACAACTGGGGATGGGGGGTATGCTTGTTTTTTTTTTTTTTTTGTATTGTTCTTTTTATTTATTGGATGGGGGGTATGCTTGTTTTTTTATTTTTATTTTTTTTATTGTTCTTTTTATTTGTTGTTTATGTTGTTGTTGTCCATTGGTGATAGATATCTACACAACCGGGAGATGGGGTTATTGCTCCCTTTGCTAATAAATGTCCTGGTGATATGAGGTTTTATTTTTTATTTTAATGTTGTTATTTTGTTGTTCTTATTACTGTTATAATGTTTGGTCCATTGGTGACAGCTACATCACCAAGGGATGCTCCCCTCGCTAATAAATGTTATGGTGATATGAGTTTTCATGCTGGGAAACTGAATGCAGACGCTGGTGCAATTTGCTTTCTTTACAACTGCTGTAATGCTCATTTCTTTTATCACCAGTCCCATCTTTGGAAGTGATTGAGGATAGGATGGTTGATAATTTTGAACTTCTTTCTTCTGTTTGATTCTGTTTCTTTTTCTTTGCAATATGCTCTGCTTTGGCTGTTTTATTTGGTGAAAGTGAAGTTAAAAGATTGCAATTTGGAAGCTTGAGTTTCTTTACATAATTAGTAGAGTTGACTGTAGGAAATTATGTAATGCTTGATGATTTCTTTTTCATTGTCAACTATCAGGTCACGGGCCTATCTTTGATATTTCGTGTAACTGTGTTTACTTGTTTTCTGTGTAATGCAGGCAGCATTGTGCCCTATAAGGATTATAAAGAAAGTCCCGGACCTGGCAGAAATTTTTATAAACCCTGCTGCTGCTTTACTTAAACCGGACTCCAGCTCTGCACAGATCTATGTAAAGTCAGTTCAGAAGCTCTTGAATGTTTTAGAAAGGGAACTTGATCATAGCAATATGTTTTTTCATTTTTCGATAAATAAACAAATTTTATTAGAAAAGCATCAAGATGATGCAAGTAATACAAAAATGAAGCCTAGAACAGCCCAAAGCCTAACTAATCAAAGCATCTACAAAATCAACAAAAGGTAACACATCCGGATCTACCGTAACCGTAACCCAACTATGAAGCACAGTGAGCAACCGCCGCTCCAATCACGGGACCGGCCAAGACACCATGAAAAATACGCCTATTTCGCTCCAACCCTATCAACCACATCAAACAATGCCCCGCAAGCGACCATTCCTTATGACGCCTCTTCCCAACCCTCCCCCCAGCCCAACTCTGCAACACAGCCAACACCGAACCAATATGTTGTCTATATAACTAAAATAAGGCGATCATACTTATGCCATATGAGCTTTACACGAGTCTTTGTTTATCTAGTATTAATGAAACTAACAAGATAATTATAAAATGCTGTTCTTCTTTTTGTTTATGGTCCATGCTGGAAACAAATCAATATATATTTTGTACCATATTCGCTAGACCTTACATCTCCATGTGATTGAACCTTTGAATTGAGATTTAGAGTTAAGGTTGTTTTGTGACCTGGTTAACAAACTCATTTTTTCGTCAAAGATTGATTACCCACTATTGATGAGGTTAATATAAACTAAAACTTAGCATCTTTTTTTTTTTGGCCAATCCTGAGATGCCACGGTTAGGCTGCCACCCCACCTTTGTTATAGCTCCAACTAGGGCTTCAATGTTTGTTCCTTTGTACCTCCTCTTGGACAGGCAGCAAAGTGCTGCTTACAATGCCATTCTAACTGCTGATGTGATTGCTGGAAATTTTAGATTTTTGTTTGCTGTACTCCTGCTATTATATTTGGTATCTTTTCATTTGTTAATGCATATGTCTGGGAAGTTGTTTTCTCTGCAGCATACACTTGTGAGGCCATGTTCTAACTATTGGAATACAACAGTAATGAATATATCCTTCTCTACTTCATGGTTAAAACTCCAAGTGTTGGACTACTGCGAGGGTTAGTTCTCTATGTAAGCTTCTCGCTTGTTGACTTGTTGCCTATGAGAACCCTTATTCTAGTGCATGTAAAGTATTGGAGCATCCGTTGTTGTTTAAAGAAGATATTGAGCAACTTCAATGGCAAACGCATCAGATATCCACACAAGATGGCAGTTCAATGTAGCTTAGGTTTTCAATTACTTTTTTCTTTTTAAACTAGTCTTGATTGATGCCTTGGCACATGCTGGTGTGCTATGAAGGCACTTATTGGGTTGGGCCATCAATGCATATGTACTTTTTATTTTACCTTTTTTGTTTTTTCATACAGTTCGGTGTTGTTATTTGAAATCAAACTGCTACACATTTTGATAAAATTGTGACTAACGAGATGCGGATCATCCTACAAACCCAATGTTATAATTGGCATGAGGAGCATAATCAAAGATAACAAGTACAAGTATGAAAATCATGAGAGCAAAAGGGAACTATAGCCTACCCATCTGTAGGAGGCATCAAAATTGGAATCCCGATAAGGAATTATGATACCAAGGCATAAAATTGTTCGGAGGCTTATAATTATTGAGGAAGATTTTTTTTTTTGGAATTCCTTGTTTGTCTATTACAGGTGATGGACAGTATCTGGATTTACTTACTTATTTGACTGCCTATAATCTTGGACCAGGTTCACCGCGTTGAAGATAGGAATTTTGGTTATTAATGGCTCTAAAACTACTTTATAAATTATACAGCATTATAAGTATTATTGCGGGATTCTTGGTAAAGTTTATTAGGAAATCTCTTTGCCATGAAAGAAGGTAATTTTTTGTGTCAGCAGAGTCATTGACTTAGTTTTGATAGTGGATAAACTGTCACAAAGGCAAGTTTGTTTGTAGAAATAATTTGACTATACTGTTTTAGTGCATTTTAAAGGGAGAGAAAAAACAAGGTTGCCAAGTTCCAATTCTCTGGTCAGATTTTTAATGCACAAGATTTACACTTCTATATGATTGTAGAAATGCACAGAGAGTGTGGTCAAAGCCCTAAAGGACATTGTGAGCAGTCCATATGCACCTGAATATGACGTCTCTGGGATTGCAGATCCTTTTCTCCATATCAGATTGCTCAAGTTTTTGCGAATAGTAGGCCAAGGAGATGCAGATGCTAGTGAACGGATGAATGACATCCTTGCTCAGGTCAGCTGCTTTGTCCTACTTTATCTCCTGCTATCATTCATGTAATATTTGTTGAAAAATGTAAATTAAATTATTGGCAGTCTGTTCAAACTATTTTATTATTTATTATTATTGTTGTAATTACGATTATTATTATTTAACCAAAAATTCTTTTCCAACTGAGGCGGCAATTTGCTTCCATGTCATGTTCAGTGAATGAAATCTAGATTACTTTTTTTTAATATTTTCTTTTCTTATTTCTTATTTCTCTTCATATTCTCTGATTTTGTAACTGTCCAAATTATTACCTGCATTCAATGTTCCCTCATCTGCCTAATACCTTGATCTGCAATTAGTATGTACTTAATGAGAAAAACTACCTTGGCAATCTTCTGTATTGTGTTGTGCTCCTGTACACACGTGTTTTTTAAAATGCTCATTGCTCTCACATACTCAATAATAAAAATCACCTTGTTCCACAATCTCCTTAAATGCTTTGCAGTCTTGCATGCTACGTTTTTATGCTCCAAGTCTCCGTTTGATTAATGAATACTATCTTTTTGTTCTGATGGTGCATGCTCTAATCAGTTATATATATGTAGCATTGTTGTCATTATTCCTTTTATCAATGTTTAAGTGAATACCCCACTACACCACTACCACCTCACCTACTCCACTAAACCCACTACACCACTACCACCTCCACTTCACCTACTCCACCTACCACCTACTACCGCCTACTCTTCTATATATAGGAATCATTGTAGCATTCAATAATTCAACAATTACAAACATCAATCAATAATACAATTCTCTTTTTCTCTTTATACATTAAATTTCTACACTAGTGAATGGATGAATGACATCCTTACTCAGGCCAGCTGCTTTGTCCTACTTTATCTCCTGCTATCATTCATATAATATTTTTTGAAAAATGTAAATTAAATTATTGGCAGTCTGTTCAAACTATTTTATTATTTATTATTATTGTTGTAATTACGATTATTATTATTTAACCAAAAATTCTTTTCCAACTGAGGCGGCAATTTGCTTCCATGTCATGTTCAGTGAATGAAATCTAGATTACTTTTTTTTAATATTTTCTTTTCTTATTTCTTATTTCTCTTCATATTCTCTGATTTTGTAACTGTCCAAATTATTACCTGCATTCAATGTTCCCTCGTTGCTCTCACATACTCAATAATAAAAATCACCTTGTTCCACAATCTCCTTAAATGCTTTGCAGTCTTGCATGCTACGTTTTTATGCTCCAAGTCTCCGTTTGATTAATGAATACTATCTTTTTGTTCTGATGGTGCATGCTCTAATCAGTTATATATATGTAGCATTGTTGTCATTATTCCTTTTATCAATGTTTAAGTGAATAAGCATAGTTTATTATGATTGCTCTTTATAATTCTTGACTGACGGAACTTAGTGCTGAAAGTTCTTGAATATGAATGTTTAGAGAATGTAATGTGTTCATAAGACAAATCCTAATGATACTCGTGACATTCTGTATTCCATCCCCAGGTTGCGACAAAAACTGAGTCAAACAAAAATGCCGGAAATGCCATTCTGTATGAATGTGTCGAAACTATCATGAGCATTGAAGATAGTGGCGGTTTGCGGGTGCTTGCTGTCACTATCTTGGGAAAATTCCTGTCAAACCGTGACAACAATATCAGGTAATTCTTTGTTCATTTTGCGCTAGTCCTACCTTATTCTAGGGCATGATCTTTGTGATTGATATCTGGTCTTTGAGAAACCACAAAATGTATACTTGATGTGTAGCTACCGTTTGCATTAATGCAAAATGGACTTTTGTTAAAGATTGGTTAGAAAAATTTTATATCCGAGGGGCCGTGGCTTGGTTGATCTACAGAAGCTCGAGTTCAAAAGCATAAAAATGCGGATTCAAGATTAAAGCCAATTTGTGTAAAATGAAATCTGGAGTTTAGTTTGTACCCAGTCTACCTATCTAGCATGCTGAATAGAAGAAACATCACTGGGTATTGGCTAATGTCTCCATGGTTGATAAAAATCTGAGCATTGGCTTACATAATTTGTTAAACAGATGCGCAATTTTGTTTAAGTTTGATTATGTCAGTGCATGGACTTTCCACAGCCTCCTAAAGTGACTACTGATACCTTTACGTTTTCTATTGTTCTCTGGGATCTTTTGGGAACCAAATAGTAGTGACGTGGTCCTTTCTACATTGACCTTTGCAATTGTTTCAATCTTTGTATTCTGTACTTCTATTCTGTTATTTCATGTAATCTAGATGTGCCCTTATGGTTGTTTTCTGGCTATTTCATACTGGTTAGTTTATATTGAATCTGACACAGTTGATTCTCAGCTTTTCTGTCAGATATGTTGCTCTGAACATGCTGATGAAAGCTACAGTAGATACACAAGCGGTGCAGAGGCATCGAGCAACAATCTTGGAATGTGTGAAGGTATTGTATTGGAAGGCTTGATATCTAGCTCATTTAACAGTCTAAAGATCTCCAGTTGCATGCATTCTTAGTTGTTATCATTTCTACACCTGGTGGAGGGGGGACACGAGGGCCAAGAGGGGGGAGAACATGGCTCAACTGACTTTTAAAAAACCCTATACCCGGTTTATCAAAGGGACTCTCCTAAAATTTTGTGATAACCCATCAATATATATATTTTGTTAAATTTTCATACTTGGTGTGGCTTTATAAGGTTTTACAAGTCAAAACCCTACATGCTGTCCATGCATAAAAAGATGAACATATTTTTATTTAACCTTGTTCCCGAGAAAATTTAGGAAAAAGAATATTTACACTTAAATTGAATTTAGGAAAATGTATATTTACACTTAAATTGGTTTTATTTTATGTTAATTACTAATATAACATAAGAACCATGAATAACATGATACTGGAGCAAATTTTATCCATGGATAGCATTATAAGATATTTGAGAGCAAGCAAGAACAAGTTTTAAATTATTACATACATATCATGTGATCAAGATGATCTCATTGAGCAACATACACAAATCTCAAAATTTAGAAGTTGAGTTTGCCATACACAATATGTTGAGATAATATGCTCATCACAGCTGTAATGGAGGGAAGATTTGTGTCAACCCGGACTCCTCACAGAGGGTCATGCAAGGTGACTAGTGAAGGGCCACATAAGTGACTAAGCAGAGTGAGATGTCTCTAATATCACATAGTCAAGCTGGTTGAGCTTGTAGTTCTCTGGTGTTCGGAGACTTTCCAGCATATAATATGGGTTTCAAAGCAAGTGTCTACGGAATTCAAGTACAAATATGAACCTAAGAGGAGGCAATTCCCATTTCAACATATAAGTAGATACAGTTTCGTAAGCATGTCAGTTTCATAAACATGATGCTTCAATATCTAGTTGTTTTATTTTACATACATGCCATTATCTACCACCAACACCACTATCATATTCTATACATGCCATTATCTACCACCAACACCACTATCATATTCTATACATGCCATTATCTACCACCAACACCACTATCATATTCTATACATGCCATTATCTACCACCAACACCACTATCATATTCTATACATGCCACTATCTACCACCAACACCACTATCATATGCCACTATCTTATTATATGCATTAACACAAATTTCCAGCATACACAATATGTTAAGATAATATGCTCATCACAACTGTAATGGAGGGAAGATTTGCGTCAACCCGGACTCCTCACAGAGGGTCATGCAAGGTGACTAGTGAAGGGCCACATAAGTGACTAAGCAGAGTGAGATGTCTCTAATATCACATAGTCAAGCTGGTTGAGCTTGTAGTTCTCTGGTGTTCGGAGACTTTCCAGCATATAATATGGGTTTCAAAGCAAGTGTCTACGGAATTCAAGTACAAATATGAACCTAAGAGGAGGCAATTCCCATTTCAAAATATATGTAGATACAGTTTCGTAAGCATGTCAGTTTCATAAACATGATGCTTCAATATCTAGTTGTTCACCTCAATCCCTATTTTTGGTGTGTCTATTTTTTTGTGGATCCTATAGTCAAGGCACACATATTTTGATTAGTTCTATTACTCATATGCCTTTATGTATCATGTGCATGAAGTACACATATTTTGATTAGTTCTATTACTCATATGCCTTTATGTATCATGTGCATGAAGTCAAGTCTTATTGGTCTCTTCACAATGTCTAAAGTAGTGGTCCAGGTCCAACTCAAGCTAGGCCAAACAAGAAGTGCTGGAAGAATGGCCAGAACCAGGCTTCCGCCATCACTTTTGGACATCCGGAGTGAGAGATCCGGATAGTAGTTATCTGCTCTGCAACCTAGTGGACGCTCGCCAAGGGTCATAGGACGTCTAAATTGGGAGACGCCAAATACTGTTGTCCCACGACGTCAGCTGTGGACATTTGGATGTCACACCGGACATCTATGGTCACGTCCAGTCGTCACACTGAATGCTAAAAGCAATGTCCGCAGACTTGAAACTGGGTTTCTCAGTCCAGAAATCCATAACCTAACCCAAAAGTTACAAATCCAAAAGGCTCCAAAGCACAAGTCCAGGTATTTAAGATTTCAAATTATCGAGTGCAATCTATATCTAGGTCCGAAGTTCTCAAACTACTAGTCTCGAGTTTCAAATCTCAAATACATAGCTCAATTTAAGTTTCTTTAAGTTGATTCTTTTTCATTTATATACCAGATTTAGGCCCAAATAAACTATTCTATGCCGTCTGTGTGGTGCTAGTGAATTTTCATGTAAATGAAGATTAGATGGAGAACCTGAAAAGAACGTAGAAAATTAAATTCTTACCTTGTAAACAATCTTTTCCAATTTTTTCTTGAATTTTCTTTATTTTATTCATTTGTTTCTTCTTCTTATCTCTCTCCCTATACTCTTTCTCACTTTTTAACCCTCTCTCAAATAGAATTCGGGGGAGCTGAACCGGAGACTTGTCTTAATTTTCTCTTCTGCAATTTTTTTCTTTACAATCCAAGCATGAGGAATTCAAGCAAGGAGGTGTGGATGGTGGATGTTGGATTTTTCCACTGACTCTACCAAGCATGAGGCGTCTTCTTGTGGTTTGACCTTATCCATGAAGCTTAATCCAAGTCGTTAAGGTTTAACGGATTGCTTCATTAAGTGACTTAGGCCTCGTTTGGGAGCAGATTTTTTTAGTAATTTTTTGACTTTTTGGCTAAAATGTGATGTAAAAAAAATTAGTATGTTTAGGATGACTTTTTAACTTTTTATGAAAAGATATGCAAAAAGTAAAGATAAAAGAGAATCTTTGACTTTTTGGTATGGGTTGTTGACTTTTTTATTTTTTTAGTAACTTTTTGACTTTTTAACTAAAAAAGCCACTTGCCAAACGAGGCTTTAATCTTGTCTCATCACCTCTTATGCCGCGTTTGGGAAGACTACAAATTTACACACACAATTAATATTAATTTATGGTGGAAGTTGAAACCAAACAATATCTAAACTTAGTGGGACCTACACTTAAATATATTCAATTCCTTAATTAATTTTTGATTAAACATGATTAACATAATCATTTAGTAACTAAGAAAATTTAAATTTTACCAATAAAATTCCTTCTGCATTTAATTGGGGATATCTTCATACAACACCTCGTGTCAACCCATAAACAGATAATTACATTGACAATGAAGCAGGGATGGACCTACGAAATATAAAGAAAAATGTAAACACTCAAATACCATGAAATGGGGCTCATGGCCTTGTGGCATGGAGGCAACACTTAGGTGCTTGCAAGGGAGAGGTTGGGGATTCAACTCCCCCTAGGAGCTAATCTAACAACTAACAATTGACTTTTGTAGATCAAAATTAAAAAAAAAAAAAAAAAAGGGGTAATGCCTAGGGTACTACATACACTTCTCCTCATCTTCTTTTCTCTCTTTGGTCTTTAACATCCTATCAAAGTTTTGATTCTAAGAGGCCTTGGGCTCTAGTCTCATGAATTTTTTTATTTTTTTATTTTATTATCATGGACTCTATTCAGTTCAGTTTGTTCTCTTCTCCACATGCAAGCTGGGGTTGCATGTGAGTGGTGTGCTGGATAGCTTGATATACAACTTTAGCTTTTGGGAATTCATTAACTTAGCAAACATTTTGGCATTTGTTTATATGCTATTTCATTAGAAATCAAAAAGGTTAAACTAATGATTTTAAGCGATATCCAATGTGGAGTTCGGGCTGTAAATTTGATGCATATATGTTGTCTCTCTCTGGTGTATTCTTATTAACAGGATGCATATCTTCTTATGGGTAAACCAAGAAGCTCATACCTTTTCTTATTCATTTTTCAGGATTCAGATGCTACTATTCGTAAAAGGGCCCACCGGACGACCTGCCAGTTGTCCCCCAGTCATCCGGCTAACTGAGCAATTCCCAGAACACAGCCATGGTTTGGACTGCAAACTGGCTTGCAATTCCCAGAGCTAGCTTATTTTCAACGCAGCCTCAACTAGAAGTCACATATACTTCTTCAATTCACAGCTGCACAGTTTGCTTTTCTAATCCCAAAAATCCAGCATCGAATCGAAGAAGAACGAAAATACAGTGTGGCAAGCATATGTGGATGATCACTTGATGTGCGAAATCAAAGGCAACTACCTCTCCACCACCGCCATCATCGGTCATGACGACAGCATTTGGGCCTAAAGCTCCTCCTTCCCTCAAGTTTCTTCACATCTCCAAATTTAATGAATTGGGTTGTTTCCTTGATCTGAACCACCATGTCCTTTATTGTTCATTCTTGATGTGTTGTAGTGAAAATGATGAGATTTCTGAAGCTATTCAACTTTTGTAATTATTATCAGTTCCATTGAATTGATTTCTCTAATTTGGATCTGGGTTTTTTAGTTATGGTTGGTTCCAAATACAACATTATTTGTTTGGTTTATATAGTACATGGGTTAATCTGTTTATATTTGTTTTTTGAAGGAAATAATTAATTGAGGCAAAAAGAAATGGAAAAGATTTAATGGAGGGAAAAAGAACTAGCAAAGGAATTGAGGGAAATAGAAATGGAGGGGGAAAAAAATTTATTTTGCTCTTGCCGGTCGACCGGCCATCGCCCCCTCGGACATTCTTGTTTTGATGAAAATTATAGTAATTCACCGTTGGAGTGGCTGATCTAAGATAGACGAATTGGTCATATTTTTATTCAAATTTGATAAAATTTTTGGTGAACTATTGGAAATGCTCTAAAGCTTTCAAATCCATCCTCGACATCTAAATCTAGAATGTTACATGGACTTAAAAAAGGCTACGCCCCTCAAATTATTGATGTTAAATCCACTAATTTCAAATTCATAAATTCAAAGGAAGTTTAAAGAAGACACTCCGAAATTTTGGAACGAGACAAACAGAAAGCAGGAGAAAAAATTCTAGCAAATATTACATTATAAATTTTAAATAAAACTCAACTATCTCACCCATGACCTAAAAATATATTAAAAATAAAACTGCTAAAGATACTATTCTCTTTAACATCCTAAATACCCCCAAAAGATTATATCCACTTATATACCCATTTTGCCATGCAGCCGCCACATGCAAAAATGCCCAGAACCGTGTGGGTGTGGCAATCTTTTCATACCTAATTAGCATGAGTTGCACTAAATGAAACTGTTTTCTCCCAGATCAATAGTTAGATGCCTAGAGAACACCCTTGAAGGAAAGGTAAAAACAATATGCAAGAGCAATGAAGGAAGATGAATAGGTTCAATGCAAAAGGTTGTTTTTCCAAACGACATCACAAGGGGGAGACATCCCATTGGTTATGAAAGGAACACAAACAAGCGATTGTCGTGATCAATTACTTTGATCATTACATAGTTTTTGGAACTTTACACTCCCATGTGTTGAATACAACCATGAGAAGAGAAAAGGCATCAAATGTATCAAAAAGTTAAACAGGGTCAAGTGTCAAGGAATCAAGTGTATCTAACCTTAAACACACCAAAAACATCATGAATTTTTCATAGTGACCAATAACTTTTCTTGTTTACCTACGAAGAAAATAATATACATGCACAAAATTGCAAGTCAAGACGAGGAAGAAGCTATAAAAATCAAAAGCACCTATTATCATCTATCTATTCAACCAGGGAACATGCTCAAAAATAATGGAATGGAACTTATAGTGAACAAGAATATGCAGATGAAAAAGAAGAAGAAGAAGAAGAAACGACCAAAAAAATAACCCACTGAAGCATTAAAGCCACAATGCGCTAAATATTCAGAAATTGTTTCAATATTAAGCAGAATAGAAGTTATCCCACTGGAGATAAAAGCACAACATGGTACGCTGAGCTCAAGAAGTCATAATTTGAACCTCGAATGATTCTCTACACAAATTTGATGGCAGAGGTGGGGGGGAGGGGAAGACCAGCCAATCTCCGAAAAAAAAAAAAAGTATCCAGAGGGATTGCAACTGAAGAACAAATTCATCTGCATATACAAAGACCAACAGAAGCACAATTGGGGATTGAACTTCGCACGTATCCTCTGGAGGTGGCCAGTGTTTTTAAAGGCTCAAGGCGCACTAAGGCGCCGATGGTCTCTTGGAGCCTAGGCGCAAGGCGCAAGGCGAGGCGCGGCGCGGGCTTTATTGAAGTAAGGCGCACAGTATTCGTAAAAAATAGAAAAAATAATATAGACTAATCATTCATAGCACTATTACAATTTTTTAAAAAATAAAAAGTAATCAAGATTCAAGACAAAATATAGAATAATTCTCAAAGCCATGAAAGTGCATATTACATTAATTTATGGCAGCAGTATATAGAAGTAGCTGGATGTGATATTTTCATGGGGTCAGGAGCAGTGGGATAATTGGTTTCATATTTAAAATAACCCCCTAGAGTAAACAGAGGAATGCCTTCATACTGACATTACGATATCCGCATATTGTCACCACTCAATCAATATCAAGCCACTGAGAATATAATTGAAACAATCTGGTGTATTCTTAGCCATTGGTTTCATAGAAAATGAAATACAAAAATAAATAAGGAACAAAACAATCTACCCAATAATAGACACACATCCCATTGTAATATTCTAAACCAATCAAAAACAGAATCTTTGGTTCCATCTCTATTATCCAAGTCTGTCTTATTCTACTCCAGCTTCCTATGAACATGTCAAATCCACTTCAATCACCTTGATTTAATATCTCGTATTAAAGTTACACTCAAACACTAAATCCTTTTTTTCCAGAATTTTACCACACATCCATCCCTTCACCATCTCAATATTTATTTGATTGTTACCCGTGAAAAGAATCCACACCCTAATCTTGCCCCTTCCCTGTGGATGCTATGTCAATGCTTTACCTCCGCGCTATAAGTATTATCTCCACACGGCAGTTTGTCCAATTATCGCTGATTAGCTCTTGAAACACATCTCATCCACAGAGCAATTTCTTCGATTCCTCACGTTTGGTATATCTCCCTTCCTCTTTCACCCTAAGAATAGTTTTTGGATAAAATTGCTATGGGTATATGTCATTGTGAAGATCTCAACTGTTAATTTTTTTTTGTTTGGAGGAATTTGTTTTAGATTAAATGAATAAATCTATTAGGAAATTTGTTTGGATTGAATTGAATTTCTGTTAGTAAATATTGTAGTTCAGTTAAATTTATTAATATATATTATATTATATTCTGTTTTAGCTTATTGTAAAAAATTCTACATAAAATTATAATTAATTTATTATACTAAGTTTAGTTTGATGAAATTTTTATTACAATTTTTAATGATTTTATAAAAAAAAAATTTATAACCTCATCAGTTTAATTTGAAAATGCCAAAATCAAGATCCAAACAAAAGGTGGTTGAAAGTTCAGAGGTTGAATTTCATTCCGAAGAAATTGATTCAGAAAGAAAAGTAAAAAGGATGAGATTATATTGTAGTCATCAAAATATAATCGAGCCAATTGATTTTGAAGTTGTTAATAATAGATATCATGATATTATTAGTGAACCACCCCCGATTATATGATCGAAAGATAAAATTTTGAAAGGAAATATACCCTTACCACAGCTGGATTTAATTACACTTTAAAAGAGTGGATGGAGAATGAATACACAGAAGTTTATGATCATGCATACGAGCATTGGAATGTTAAGCGATCTAGTGAGTTGGTGAGGAAGCTTATTTGTGCGAGGATCAAAGTTGTGTTTGCTCTTCAGGAAAAAGAGCATTTTCATGGTTGTTTACACCACCTAAAAAATTATGGTATTCGAATGGTTAAAAATTTCGATGAAGACCATCATGAAGAAATTTTAGAAGTGATTCTTTTGTATACAAATACAAACCTAGGACAGTTTCCTGAACCAACAAGGGCTGAAATGGGGGTAGAAAATGATATGATCGGATTGTCCCATATGATATTTGACAACATTTTGGTTGGACAAAACTGCCGCAATTATCCTGAAGATTTAAAAGACTTGTTTTTGTTGATGGCAAATTCTTGTTCAATACTTAAAAATAGGTAGATTATAGAAACTCATCGTTATTTGTGGCACTAGACTGTTAGATGTTACGAGAAGGTTTGGCATCTCTGTTGTTAGACCTTCTCGTAGTAGTAACATCTAACAGTCCAATGCCACAAGTAAGGATGAGTTTCTATAATCCACCTATTTTTAGGTATTGAACTAGCATTTGCCATCAACAAAAACAAGTCTTTTAAATCTTCAGGATAATTGCAACAGTTTTGTCCAACCAAAATATTGTCAAATATCATATCATTTTCTACCCCCAATTCAGCTCTTGTTGATTCAGGAAGCTAACCTATGTCTGTATTTTCTTCATGATGGCCTCCTTCAAAATTATAAACCATACAAATACCATAATTTTTTGGGTGGTGCAAACAACCATGAAAATGTTGTTTTTCAAGAAAAACAAACACAACTTTGATCATCGCACAAATAAGCTTCCTCATATGCGTGATTATAAACCTCTCTTTCTTCATTCTCCATTCATTCTTTTAAAGTGTAATCAAATCCAGCCGGGGTAAGGGTATATTTCCTTTCAAAATTATATCTATTGATCATATAATCGGTGGGTGGTTCACTAATAATATCATGATATCTATTATTAACATTAACCCCTCTAACAACTTCAAAACCAATTGGCTTGATTATATTTTGATGACTACAATATAATCTCATGCTTTTTCCTTTTCCATTTGAATCAACTTCCTTGGAATGAAATTCAGCCTTTGAACTTTCAACCACCTTTTGTTTGGATCTTGATTTTGACATTTTCAAATTAAACTGATAAGGTTATAAAAAAACATTAAAAATTGTAATAAAAATTTCATCAAACTAAACTTAGTATAATAATAAATTATAATTTTATGTAGAATTTTTTAAAATAATCTAAAACAGAATATAATACAATATATATTAATAGATTTAATTGAACTACAATATTTACTAACAAAAATTCAATTCAATCCAAACAAATTTCCTAACAGATTTATTTCATTTAATCTAAACAAATTCCCCACCTAAAAATAAAATAAAATAATTTAACAGTTGAGATCTTCACAATAACATATACCCATAGCAATTTTATCCAAAAATTATTGGTAGAGTGAAAGAGGAAGGGAGATATACCAAACGTGAGGAATCGGAAAAACTGCTCTTTATATGAGATGTATTTCACGAGCTAATCAGAGATAATCGAACAAACTGCCATGATTGAGACCATGAGGAGGCTACTGGGGACCATGACCGAGACCATAATCGTCGACCGCCCGATGGTGATGATGATGCAGATCGTGGAGACCATGACCGTTGCCGTTGCAATGATGATGATGAATTTGGAATCTTGAACGTGATCGACGCAATGGTGGTGAAGACGATGATGGTGAACTTCTTGAGCTTGTTGTTCTCGTCATCAATGTCTCCCTATAGGATGCAGCATCTTCGCCTCCCTCCTAAGCTTCCCCACAGAGTGAGCTTCAACAACCTAGTAGTTGTCAAAAAAACAAAAACCAAAAAAATTACAAACATTAGTGTTTACAAAAAAGAAACAATAAAGGAACACGAGCATGCTATTGCTTTTGAAAATAAAAATTCTAGATGCTTCTATAAAAAAAAAAAAGTTATTACGGACTTGAAAATTGGTTAGAACTTTATGGCAACAAACCAATGGGGAACGGGGAAAGGTTGTTCCAAAATGTCTAATTGTGCTACTATGAGAAGGTTTGATGTTGAGAGCTCTCCTCTCTACTACCGTTGAATGTTCTAGAAGTAAATTCCTCATCACTCATTTTAACTACACAAATTTCACCATTTACCAACCACTCATTTTACCTGCTCAAACTTCACCATTTACCAACCACTAATTTTAGCCAAGCCAATGAATGGTTGAAGTTTGGTGTGTACTAGTATAAATAGGAGACATTTGGATCTCCATTATGTGTGTGTGAGGAAGAGGCAAAGTCTAAGTGTGAGTGCTTGAATGTCATGTGTGATTATAAAGTGTGGTGTCTTAGTGTGTTTGTTTGTATAGTATAAACTTTGAGTGTGAGTGAATAAATGAAGAATATTAGTGTGTAGTTGTGTACTAGTGTTTTGTACTTAAGTTTATTAATTGTTGTGTTACAATTCAACACTTGATACTTTCTTTAAGGTTAAAAAAAACAGCAAACAGTCACAATAAGGGTAATGCCAACAAAAAGGAGTCCAAAATCAACTCAAATACAAACAAGAAACAAGGTATCAAGTTTGGGTTCGAAGGAAGTGGATTGGTGATGTGGGAGTTATCTAGCTGGTTACTAATAGTTTAGGCAAGACTAAACTAAGATTATTTGAGTTTATTCCTTAAAACATCTAAGCAATACCGTCTTTTTTAGATAAATTATAGAAAATTATAAGTGCACATTTCCATATAAAATTTTGTATTTCAACTATGTTTTGTTGGACATTTCACGTTCTCCATGGTGAATATGATATAGGTGTTGGAGCATGTGAAGGTAGAGTCCTAAGTTAGATAAAGAGTAAAAAAAATGAGTCTTAATATGCATTAGATAGGTTCTCCACTTATGGGCCTAAGCTTTTAAGTGGATATGAGTTCTAATAAGGTCTCGTTTGGGAACAGGCTAATTTAGTAACTTTTTGGCTATTTGGCTAAAAAGGTAGGTAAAAAAAACTTGTATGTTTTGAATGAATTTTTGGCTAATTACGAAAAAATGTGCAAAAAGTAGAGAGAAAAGAGAATCTTTGACTTTTTGGTATGGGTTGTTGGCTTTTTGGCTAATTTAGTAACTTTTTGGCTAATTGGCTAAAATAGCCTCTTGCCAAACGAGGCCTAAATAACATATGTTAGGCCCTATTGTTAGGTATGTGGACTTTGGGATTTCTCCGAATTGGGCCGGATTCGCAATGCGCTTGTGGACTCAAATTCCCTAACAATTGGTATCAAAGCCAATGGCTAGTGATCTACAGGTGGGCTCTTTTGGAGCATCGATGTTGTTGGGCTTGGGTTTGCACAGAAACTCTTGATAGAGCAAGAAAAATCCATGACGACTCTAGATGGAGCAAAGAAAATTCCTAGAGCATGTGGCAAGGTTGGACCGCGACAAGGTGGCTCTCAATTGAATATGGTTACTCTCAATGGAGTATGGCTGCTCACGATACAGTGTGTGCTGGTGGCCCAAGTTGTACTCAATGTTGGAGAGTTATAGATCAAGATTAAGGGAGAGTGCGTATAATCTAAGATGAACTTGCTCTTGATAGATCAAGACTTGGGGGGAGTAAATTGAGGCCCAATGTTTGGTTCACACATGAGGGAAAGATTGTTGGAGCATTTGCGAAGATAGAGTCCCACATCAAATAAAGAGTAAAAGAGATGGCCTCAATATATATTAGATGGGTTCTCCACTCATGGGCTGAAGCTTTTAAGTGGGTATGGGCTTAAGCTTTTAAGTGGGTATGAGTTCCAAATAATGTATTTTAGGCCCTATTATTAGGTATGGGGACTTTGAAATTTCTCCGAATTAGACCGGATTTGCAATGCGCTTGTGGGTTCCTCAAATTCCCTAACAATAGGTGCCTGACATTCACATGCTAATTGCCACCAAAATAAAAAAATGAGTTGACTAACAACTATTCCATACTATTTTCAACCAAAACAATTCGAATTGTGCTATTGAATTGAAAAATGAGTAAATCATGTGATTCAATTTACAATTCACTACCATCCACTGCGATTCAATGAGATTCATTGCAATTTAGTTTTGTTTTTGTTTGCATAATGCATAAAATGACAACATTTCACCTCTATCAAGAAACAAAAGACAGATCAATTAATTATATTGAATTAAGTGGTTTTATTATATATATATATATACAATTCAGTTATATTGGGAAAAATAATTCATTTTAATCCAAACCAAACCAAGCCTTAAGTCCCACAGTTAAATTTATTAATATATATTATATTATATTCTGTTTTAGCTTATTGTAAAAAATTCTACATAAAATTATAATTAATTTATTATACTAAGTTTAGTTTGATGAAATTTTTATTACAATTTTTAATGATTTTATAAAAAAAAAATTTATAACCTCATCAGTTTAATTTGAAAATGCCAAAATCAAGATCCAAACAAAAGGTGGTTGAAAGTTCAGAGGTTGAATTTCATTCCGAAGAAATTGATTCAGAAAGAAAAGTAAAAAGGATGAGATTATATTGTAGTCATCAAAATATAATCGAGCCAATTGATTTTGAAGTTGTTAGAGGGGTTAATGTTAATAATAGATATCATGATATTATATTAGTGAACCACCCCCGATTATATGATCGATAGATAAAATTTTGAAAGGAAATATACCCTTACCACAGCTGGATTTAATTACACTTGAAAAGAGTGGATGGAGAATGAATACACAGAAGTTTATGATCATGCATACGAGCATTGGAATGTTAAGCGATCTAGTGAGTTGGTGAGGAAGCTTATTTGTGCGAGGATCAAAGTTGTGTTTGCTCTTCAGGAAAAAGAGCATTTTCATGGTTGTTTACACCACCTAAAAAATTATGGTATTCGAATGGTTAAAAATTTCGATGAAGACCATCATGAAGAAATTTTAGAAGTGATTCTTTTGTATACAAATACAAACCTAGGACAGTTTCCTGAACCAACAAGGGCTGAAATGGGGGTAGAAAATGATATGATCGGATTGTCCCATATAATATTTGACAACATTTTGGTTGGACAAAACTGCCGCAATTATCCTGAAGATTTAAAAGACTTATTTTTGTTGATGGCAAATTCTTGTTCAATACTTAAAAATAGGTGGATTATAGAAACTCATCGTTATTTGTGGCACTAGACTGTTAGATGTTACGAGAAGGTTTGGCATCTCTGTTGTTAGACCTTCTCGTAGTAGTAACATCTAACAGTCCAAAGCCACAAGTAAGGATGAGTTTCTATAATCCACCTATTTTTAGGTATTGAACTAGCATTTGCCATCAACAAAAACAAGTCTTTTAAATCTTCAGGATAATTGCAACAGTTTTGTCCAACCAAAATATTGTCAAATATCATATCATTTTCTACCCCCAATTCAGCTCTTGTTGGTTCAGGAAGCTAACATATGTCTGTATTTGTATATAAAAGAATCACTTCTATAATTTCTTCATGATGGCCTCCTTCAAAATTATAAACCATACAAATACCATAATTTTTTGGGTGGTGCAAACAACCATGAAAATGTTGTTTTTCAAGAAAAACAAACACAACTTTGATCATCGCACAAATAAGCTTCCTCACCCATTCACTAGATCGCTTAACATTCCAGTGCTCATATGCGTGATTATAAACCTCTCTTTCTTCATTCTCCATTCACTCTTTTAAAGTGTAATCAAATCCAGCCGGGGTAAGGGTATATTTCCTTTCAAAATTATATATATTGATCATATAATCGGTGGGTGGTTCACTAATAATATCATGATATCTATTATTAACATTAACCCCTCTAACAACTTCAAAACCAATTGGCTTGATTATATTTTGATGACTACAATATAATCTCATGCTTTTTCCTTTTCCATTTGAATCAACTTCCTTGGAATGAAATTCAGCCTTTGAACTTTCAACCACCTTTTGTTTGGATCTTGATTTTGACATTTTCAAATTAAACTGATAAGGTTATAAAAAAACATTAAAAATTGTAATAAAAATTTCATCAAACTAAACTTAGTATAATAATAAATTATAATTTTATGTAGAATTTTTTAAAATAATCTAAAACAGAATATAATACAATATATATTAATAGATTTAATTGAACTACAATATTTACTAACAAAAATTCAATTCAATCCAAACAAATTTCCTAACAGATTTATTTCATTTAATCTAAACAAATTCCCCACCTAAAAAAAAATAAAATAATTTAACAGTTGAGATCTTCACAATAACATATACCCATAGCAATTTTATCCAAAAACTATTGGTAGAGTGAAAGAGGAAGGGAGATATACCAAACGTGAGGAATCGGAAAAACTGCTCTTTATATGAGATGTATTTCACGAGCTAATCAGAGATAATCGAACAAACTGCCATAATTGAGACCATGAGGAGGCTACTGGGGACCATGACCGAGACCATAATCGTCGACCGCCCGATGGTGATGATGATGCAGATCGTGGAGACCATGACCGTTGCCGTTGCAATGATGATGATGAATTTGGAATCTTGAACGTGATCGACGCAATGGTGGTGAAGACGATGCTGGTGGACTTCCTGAGCCTGTTGTTCTCGTCATCAATGTCTCCCTATAGGATGCAGCATCTTCGCCTCCCTCCTAAGCTTCCCCACAGAGTGAGCTTTAACAACCTAGTAGTTGTCAAAAAAACAAAAACCAAAAAAATTACAAACATTAGTGTTTACAAAAAAGAAACAATAAAGGAACACGAGCATGCTATTGCTTTTGAAAATAAAAATTCTAGATGCTTCTATAAAAAAAAAATAAGTTATTACGGACTTGAAAATTGGTTAGAACTTTATGGCAACAAACCAATGGGGAACGGGGAAAGGTTGTTCCAAAATGTCTAATTGTGCTACTATGAGAAGGTTTGATGTTGAGAGCTCTCTCTCTCTACTACCGTTGAATGTTCTAGAAGTAAATTCCTCATCACTCATTTTAACTACACAAATTTCACCATTTACCAACCACTCATTTTACCTACTCAAACTTCACCATTTACCAACCACTAATTTTAGCCAAGCCAATGAATGGTTGAAGTTTGGTGTGTACAAGTATAAATAGGAGACATTTGGATCTCCATTATGTGTGTGTAAGGAAGAGGCAAAGTCTAAGTGTGAGTGCTTGAATGTCATGTGTGATTATAAAGTGTGGTGTCTTAGTGGGTTTGTTTGTATAGTATAAACTTTGAGTGCGAGTGAATAAATGAAGAATATTAGCGTGTGGTTGTGTACTAGTGTTTTGTACTTAAGTTTATTAATTGTTGTGTTACAATTCAACACTTGATACTTTCTTTAAGGTTAAAAAAAACAGCAAAGTCACAATAAGGGTAATGCCAACAAAAAGGAGTCCAAAATCAACTCAAATACAAACAAGAAACAAGGTATCAAGTTTGGGTTCGAAGGAAGTGGATTGGTGATGTGGGAGTTATCTAGCTGGTTACTAATAGTTTAGGCAAGACTAAACTAAGATTATTTGAGTTTATTCCTTAAAACATCTAAGCAATACCGTCTTTTTTAGATAAATTATAGAAAATTATAAGTGCGCATTTCCATATAAAATTTTGTATTTCAACTATGTTTTGTTGAACATTTCACGTTCTCCATGGTGAATATGATATAGGTTTTGGAGCATGTGAAGGTAGAGTCCTAAGTTAGATAAAGAGTAAAAAAAATGAGTCTTAATATGCATTAGATAGGTTCTCCACTTATGGGCCTAAGCTTTTAAGTGGATACGAGTTCTAAATAACATATGTTAGGCCCTATTGTTAGGTATGTGGACTTTGGGATTTCTCCGAATTGGGCCGGATTCGCAATGCGCTTGTGGACTCAAATTCCCTAACAATTGGTATCAAAGCCAATGGCTAGTGATCTACAGGTGGGCTCTTTTGGAGCATCGATGTTGTTGGGCTTGGGTTTGCACAGAAACTCTTGATAGAGCAAGAAAAATCCATGACGACTCTAGATGGAGCAAAGAAAATTCCTAGAGCATGTGGCAAGGTTGGACCGCGACAAGGTGGCTCTCAATTGAATATGGTTACTCTCAATGGAGTATGGCTGCTCACGATACAGTGTGTGCTGGTGGCCCAAGTTGTACTCAATGTTGGAGAGTTATAGATCAAGATTAAGGGAGAGTGCGTATAATCTAAGATGAACTTGCTCTTGATAGATCAAGACTTGGGGGGAGTAAATTGAGGCCCAATGTTTGGTTCACACATGAGGGAAAGATTGTTGGAGCATTTGCGAAGATAGAGTCCCACATCAAATAAAGAGTAAAAGAGATGGCCTCAATATATATTAGATGGGTTCTCCACTCATGGGCTGAAGCTTTTAAGTGGGTATGGGCTTAAGCTTTTAAGTGGGTATGAGTTCCAAATAATGTATTTTAGGCCCTATTATTAGGTATGGGGACTTTGAAATTTCTCCGAATTAGACCGGATTTGCAATGCGCTTGTGGGTTCCTCAAATTCCCTAACAATAGGTGCCTGACATTCACATGCTAATTGCCACCAAAAAAAAAAATGAGTTGACTAACAACTATTCCACACTATTTTCAACCAAAACAATTCGAATTGTCCTATTGAATTGAAAAATGAGTAAATCATGTGATTCAATTTACGATTCACTATTATCCACTGCGATTCAATGAGATTCATTGCAATTTAGTTTTGTTTTTGTTTGCATAATGCATAAAATGACAACATTTCACCTCTATCAAGAAACAAAAGACAGATCAATTAATTATATTGAATTAAGTGGTTTTATTATATATATATATATACAATTCAGTTATATTGGGAAAAATAATTCATTTTAATCCAAACCAAACCAAGCCTTAAGTCCCATCAAATGGGATCGGCTATATGAATCTTTCTTCTCCATTCGACTCTATCCAAGGCCATATCGTTAGTCAAATTAAGGAGATTCACATCTCTATTTACTACACTAACCCACGTCAATTTAGGTCTGCCCTTTTTCCCCTAACACTTCCATCTACCGTCACTACATCACATCTCTTCACTACTACCTATGTTGGTCTCCGTTATATATGACCAAATCATCTCAATCTGCTCTCCCTCAACTTATCTTATATCGGTACTACCCCTACCCATTCTCGAATATGCTCATTCCTAACTCTATCTTTTCCAGTCTTGCCACACATTCACCAAAGCAACAACTCTCGTCTTATTTACATGTTTCTTAGTTGCCCAACATTCCGTCTCATACAACATCGCTGGTCTAATAGTCATTCTATAGAGCTTTTCTTTTTGGTCTAATGGATACTCATTTATCGCACAGTACTCCAGACGCATTCCTCCACTTAAGCTACCCCGCCTTAATCCTATAGACCACATCCGCTCCAATCTCCCCAACCGTTGTGATAATCGATCCTAAATAACGAAAATGTCTACTCTTACGTAGTGCTTGGTCCTCAATTTTCACTTATCTTCTGCTTCCATTGTTACTGTTACTAAAATTACACTCCATATACTCTATCTTAGTTTTACTTATCCTAAATCCTTTAGATTCAAGTGCTTCTCTACAAGTCTCCAACTTAGTGCTAACTCCTTCTCTAGTCTCATCCACAAACATGATATCGTCTGCAAAAGCATATACCATGGCACATCATTCTAAATATTTATCGCCAACTCATTCATAACTAAAGTAAAAAAATAAGGACTCAAGGTAACCCGACAGTAATTAGAAATTCACTTGTCTCTCCAGCCGGTGATCTAATAGTGGTCACCACACCTTCATACATATCCCTAATCACATCAATGTACCCTTTTGTCACCCCTTTCTTCTCCAACACCCACCAGATTACATCCCGATGCACAATTCATTTTAATCACTGTGTATATTTTTATACGTATATACATACATAAAATTATATATTATATTTAAGGTTAATTACACCACTCCCTCAACTATTAACAAATATCATTTTGACCCCCTCATTTATAAACTCATACATATCGACCCCATTAAGTATGAAAATCATACGAATACACCCGTTTTGAATGTGGTCTGGAGGGGGTGAAAGTAATACATTTTCATAGTTGAGAAGGTCAAAATGGACGAGTTCATAGACGAGGAGATCAAAGTGATATTCGCTAATAATTGAGGGTGTCAGGATGTTGCACACTACTTTCTTAAGTGATTTAGCATCACTTATCACACAGGATGCAGATTCATACTTTTTAGCAAAGATATATCAGTTTGACTGGTAGATTGACAAACACTGACATCTATAACCAATCCCTCTAGAACTAGTCAGACATCCCTCATAAATAAAGATGAAAAGCATGCCTCCCCAACTAATTATAAATTTCCCATTTATGGCCCTTTGTCATATATAACACAAAGAAATACAAACAAATCAATTCCAACATACATCCCAATTAAAAAAGATAAAAATGGAGATACGGACAAGTATGATAAGGGAATTAATTGAATGAATACATTTACAACATGATTTAACAGTGGAGTTTGATTTCATCAGGTGCAATAGACCCATCAAAAAAATTTTAAAAAAAATGTTTCATAAAGGATCAATTAATCAAGGTGCTAAACATTTGATTTACAATTAGAAGATATGACTCAACACAAACTCTTATTGGTTGCAGGCTAGTTTATGGAAGCTTACAAGCATGTATGGGCTAATATTGCAGGCTCTCTGCAATTGTTGGCTTTGAAATGGATCACAAAACACTACTTAAATTCTTGACCACTGTACAATGTTCAGCTAGTAGACAGCTCTTTACTAGAATGGACGATGGACAATTTTTCTTGTTCTTTCCATGACAACTATACTCTTGGCAGTTGTTTTTTCACTATAGCTAGAGACCTAGTGCTCATAGAATAAGCTGCCTGCCACATATTTTACGAGAAACTACTAGTCTTATACCTCAATTTGTATTTTGGCTAAATTACTCTAACCTCCCCTAAGATCTGACAAAAATACAATAAAGCCCACAATTTTATATTAATTACAAAGACCTCCCCTTCAAGAATAAAGGAATAAATAGAGCTAATAAATATATGAAAATTACTATTTTGCCCTCATTTTTGTCCGTTTCAAAATTTTAATAAAACTTTAATGTGAAATGATTCAAAAATCCCTTAACCCTAACCACACCCATTTCTCTATGCATTCATTGAGGGATTGCAATGATTGGTTTTTGAAATATTTTTGGTTGGAAGGTCGTGATGAGAGAGTGGAGAGGATGGTTGTGGGTTTGGGTTGAGAGTTGTGGTCTATGTTACCTAGAACGTGGATCGTTTCGATACATGGAACAAGAACGGGAAAGTGGTACGCCACATGCTCTAAAATGTGGTACGGTAGTAGTAGACTTGTATATATTATACTTGAGAATTTAAGGTATTTCTAGAACAATTTTCTTTTAACTATTAAGTATCCAATATATATATATATTCATGTAGCAAATCATTTCTATGAAAATCATGACCAATTTTTTATATTTTTGTCTTATTAAAACTTAACTCACCTTAGATTTTAATTCATATATTTGAATTTTATTCTCCTAAGGTAACATTTAAAAAAATATAATAGAAAAAACTTTATGGATCATTTTGGATCACTAAATTTACCATTTTGGAACGAAAATGTACCATGTTTCGGAATGTGAGTACCAATACGTAATTCGCTAGGGTATTAGCATTTTCTGATAACATAGGTTGTGGTAGGGTAGCGAATGGTGGTGGTTGTTATTGTTGTCTCTACTACGTGACAGAATAAGAGAGAGAAAATTGGGTGACAAAAATAAAGTGGTGTGTGTGAGGGTTAATTTCATTTTTTTCATTTTTATTATAAGGGTATAAATCACTCTGTTTGGTTTTGGAGTTTTCAAAAATAATTTTCAAGTTTTCAATTCATATTCTTTGGCTTTTTAATGATTTCTTAAATATTTTAATCATTTATTTATTTATTTTTTTACTTCTTAGATCCACTTAATCTAGATACACTTAACAAATATAAAATTTGTGAAAAAATCTTTACAAATTTCTTTAAATACAAAAATTCTATATATTTTCATATTTTTTGGTTCAAAGGTAAAACCTTAGCATCCTAATAACCTTGAGGTTATGGATTCAAGTCTCGGAGCAATCACTTTGTGCACTATGCCAGAAGTTAGGCATGTATCCAATCTTTCCCCTCCCAAAAACACATTAAGATATACTATTAGGGCATTTTTTTTTTTTAAGTATAAAAATGAATGACATCATAATTTTTTAATAGTTTGCCTATCGATTAACTAGCATTGCGGGGGTACATGATATGCAATTTAAATTTTTAGATAGATTTGTGTAATTATGCTAAAACTATGGAGCTGCTTGTATTTTTGTCAAACCTCAAGGGTGGTTAGTTTAATTTACCCTAAATTTTGTTATCAAGTTAGAGCATCTCCATTGGAGAATGCTATTTTAGCAATGTCAAAGCTATAATTTGGCATGCTAGTGCCAAATATTGCATTGTTACTCCAGCAGTGCAAGTGCCATTTTAGCACAACAACTACCATTCCCTCTTTTTTCCAATCACTTTTCTCTTTCCTCACCAACATTACCAACCAACAACTGAATCTTGGGTAATGGACAACCAATGTTGCATATTGCAATGTCTAGAGTGATGATTGTCCCCTTTATCTTTATTTGGAAGTCTTCCATAATTTGTGGTTTAAAAATTTGAGTCTTTCATAATTTTGTGATGTCTCATTTGAGTGCTGAGAAATTTACAAAAAAATAAAATAAAATACCCATAGTTGTTTGATATTGTAAATTGTTGCATATTATTCAATGTCTAGAGTGATGATTGTCCCCTTTATCTTTATTTGGAAGTCTTCCATAATTTGTGGTTTAAAATTTTGAGTCTTTCATAATTTTGTGATGTCTCATTTGAGTGCTGAGAAATTTACAAAAAAATAAAATAAAATACCATAGTTGTTTGATATTGTAAATTGTTGCATATTATTCCATAATTTTACATGTGTTGCATATCGTAGAATACATCCATTGGTCCTATTTTACAAGTCATTGGATGCACTGTCACAATCCAATGCACTGCCATTCCAATCACAACCCTCAATGTCTCTTTCATCCCTTAGTCCCTCGCCTCTCATCCTCATCCTCTCACATCCTGATTGAGGATGCTTGATGACTCCATTGTAGACTCACTTTTCTCTACCCAATCTCTTGGTTGTCCCTCTCTCTACTCAATCCTTCTCTTTCATGGCTCTCATACATCATATCTCAAATCTCTCATACCTCAATTCTCAAATAAATACCCCCACGAAGCACTGGACAGGAAGACCTAGGGTTTCAGACAAGAAGACCTAGTGGTACACCACCTAGGGTTTCAAATATCTCCCTCTCCGCTAATCAGGTTCTCAAACCCCCACCAATTCTTGGTCAAACAACAATCAGTCCAAATCATGTCTCCATCCACAATTTCAGAACCTGGTGACACCACCTTCGATGTCATCACATCTCTGACGATGCCATGTGGATCTCCTCTTTGCAGGTCTGATGTTTCTCTTCTTTTCTTTTTTTGCTATTTATTCCTTGAATTCATGTGTCAGTTTCTATTCATTTTGTATTAATTTCTTAGCCATGTTCATACATTGATTTTGTGTAAGGATCATTTTTGTTGATGTTACAGCCAAACTTGCTGCCAAATTTGGCACAACAAATGCATTTCCAAAATGAATCAAGATGGATAGCAGCCCACTAGAAAAAAGTTGACAATGGAAAGCTCCTTTGGCAACCCACAACAATTGCTCTTACGTCCCTTCTGTATGGGCTGAAATCTGTCAGTTACAAAGACATTGCCTATCATGAGAAAGGAGTTTCCTTTTTCATGATAATAAGAGCAATTTGAAAGGAACTAGTGTTCCTACTATCAAGATGTGAAAGGAGCAAACAGATTCCTAACAACTTCTGGACAAACAATTTACAAAAATCTGAGATGAACCACACAAGGAAAATATGGTTTACTAGAAAATATTTTGTTCCCCTATCTGTTGAGGGACAAAAATTAACCCATGTGAGGTGGGCCCACCCAATGCCTACATGGAATAAGGATTAAGGTAATAAAGTAAAAAAAACTTGCAATGCAACTTACCAACTTGCCAGATTAGTTTTGGGCGAAGTGGCTCATTTTCATTGGATCAATTTGCTGGCTTAATCTCATTGGACAAAATGAGTGACAGGTTAGCCTATAAAGGGATGTAATTTTTAACTCCAAGGGAAGGAGGTATGCCTAAACTTTTCTATTTACTTATTCAGTTTTCATTTAGATATATCCTATATAACTTGATTGTCGAAGTGCCTTCCGGCCAGCAACAGCCGGTCGGAAGGCACTAACCGTTTATTCTTTTGTAAATACAGAATGGTGCGGCTCAATTCTTCGTTAACCTCTTGATTAATACATGTGGGACAATTTCTGCCTACACATTATCAATTCCCCCAAAACAAAAAGCTAGCCCTTTATTTAACACACAAAAAATTAAAAACTAACTAAGCAACAAGAGAAAATCAAATAAAAGTAAAAATCAGAACACACAACAACAAAAAAAGAGGACTTCATAACCAAACTATATGAATGATTTTTTTGCCAAAAATAGAACACAAACACAATACATTTGATTGAGAAAAACTGAAGTACTATATATATATAAATAAATAAAAGAGTTATTCAACCCCCCAAAAAAAAGTACTAAAAAAAAAGAGATCTATAGCTAACGAACTAAGCACCTTAAGATTTGCTTACCTCAACACCTCTTTTTGAATACCATTGTTATCGACCGCAAAGTACCTAAAATAGCCACAGCATGAGAGAGAGAGAGAGAGAGAGAGAGAGAGAGAGAGAGAGAGAGATCTTAGAGACTGAGATATGACAAGCTATTATTAACAGCATTTTGAATCAATTCAGGATTTTACAATAACTACCATTTCATATTTCAGAATGCAGCGCCAATACGATCTGAATTGCAATTGTTAGGTTCCCAGTCACAATAAATAGTCTAATAGGTTTCATGTATCTGTCTATATTGTAATCATGTATTCAACAAAATCCCTCCGCTTGATCTAGACTCTTGCCTCCAAGACAAGTCAATACTTGGACATATACATAGAGAGAGAGAGACAGACAGACAGGGGTGCTTACAAAGAAAGAAAAAGAAATTGGAGAGAGATGATGGGTTGGATATGTGAAAAAAAAGAAGAAACACGGGTGTGCCTTCCTTCGCAATAAACCCTAAACCCTGCATTGCACACACTGAAAATACCCTTATGGCTGGCAGCTCCAGGAATTTTCACCAGGGTAGACATTTTGAGGCTCTATTTGGCTACGATTTTTTTAGTCACTTCCTAACTACTTGAGCCCAAAAAATAAATAAATAAAACCGGAACAGTTGTTTTCAGCTTATTTAATTGACAATCAAGAATTATTTACTTTTATTTTTGTACAAGATTGGCAACTGATAAGCACACACTGAAAATACCCTTATGGCTGGCAGCTCCAGGAATTTTCACCAGGGTAGACATTTTGAGGCTCTATTTGGCTACGATTTTTTTAGTCACTTCCTAACTACTTGAGCCCAAAAAATAAATAAATAAAACTGGAACAGTTGTTTTCAACTTATTTAATTGACAATCAAGAATTATTTACTTTAATTTTTTTACAAGATTGGCAACTGATAAAAGGTCAAATTTTAAATAAAAATTTTTTTTTTTTAAAAAAAAAAGCAAACTTTAGTGAATATTTTAAAATTTTATATTAATTTTTTTATTTAAAAAATAAATAAATTACTAACGAATAAATAAATAAATAAACAACTTAGCTAAACCTTCACAATAACAAAAGGCTAGCTTTTTTTAGCAACAACTTTATCTTAAAAAAACAAAAAAGTTACTAAAAATTCAATTGTCCAATCCAGCCTCAAAGACTCTACCCTTTACAAGACTCTACCCTTTACAAGATTCACTAATTTAAATTTCTTAAATGGCATAGAAAGAGTTATAATATATTGTTGCCATTTTTTTCCAACAAAAAACATGCAAAATCAAATACATCATTTTTAATGGACATAATCAAGCAGTTATTCATCCATTGATCTCCTATTTGGGCTGTTCTTTTTAGATGATAATAAAGCCGCTGTTACTGTAATTATACATGTATTTTAAGAGTTAGTGTGTTCTGGGTTGGGTGTTCAACAAAGTAGATCTGGGCCAACTGGTATTCAATAGAGTGGACAAGGGTGTTCAAAGTTAAAAATAAATAAAATTCAGAGAGCACACCAGTTGAAATTCTACCCCCAAACCACTCTTGGAATACCATTTTTCGACCTAAACTAACAGCATAGTTGGAGATATTGACATATATATCAGAGAGAGAGAGAGAAATATGAGATCTGAGGGAAAGCAAAAACCTGGTTTGCGCAGAGCAAGAACAAACGTTGCAGAGGCTGAGATGGAGAGATGCCTTTTCAGAAAGAGCAATTTGAAAGGAACTAGTGTTCCTACTATCAAGATGTGAAAGGAGCAAACAGATTCCTAACAACTTCTGGACAAACAATTTACAAAAATCTGAGATGAACCACACAAGGAAAATATGGTTTACTAGAAAATATTTTGTTCCCCTATCTGTTGAGGGACAAAAATTAACCCATGTGAGGTGGGCCCACCCAATGCCTACATGGAATAAGGATTAAGGTAATAAAGTAAAAAAAACTTGCAATGCAACTTACCAACTTGCCAGATTAGTTTTGGGCGAAGTGGCTCATTTTCATTGGATCAATTTGCTGGCTTAATCTCATTGGACAAAATGAGTGACAGGTTAGCCTATAAAGGGATGTAATTTTTAACTCCAAGGGAAGGAGGTATGCCTAAACTTTTCTATTTACTTATTCAGTTTTCATTTAGATATATGCTATATAACTTGATTGTCGAAGTGCCTTCCGGCCAGCAACAGCCGGCCGGAAGGCACTAACCGTTTATTCTTTTGTAAATACAGAATGGTGCGGCTCAATTCTTCGTTAACCTCTTGATTAATACATGTGGGACAATTTCTGCCTACACATTATCAATTCCCCCAAAACAAAAAGCTAGCCCTTTATTTAACACACAAAAAATTAAAAACTAACTAAGCAACAAGAGAAAATCAAATAAAAGTAAAAATCAGAACACACAACAACAAAAAAAGAGGACTTCATAACCAAACTATATGAATGATTTTTTTGCCAACAATAGAACACAAACACAATACATTTGATTGAGAAAAACTGAAGTACTATATATATATAAATAAATAAAAGAGTTATTCAACCCCCCAAAAAAAAGTACTAAAAAATAAGAGATCTATAGCTAACGAACTAAGCACCTTAAGATTTGCTTACCTCAACACCTCTTTTTGAATACCATTGTTATCGACCGCAAAGTACCTAAAATAGCCACAGCATGAGAGAGAGAGAGAGAGAGATCTTAGAGACTGAGATATGACAAGCTATTATTAACAGCATTTTGAATCAATTCAGGATTTTACAATAACTACCATTTCATATTTCAGAATGCAGCGCCAATACGATCTGAATTGCAATTGTTAGGTTCCCAGTCACAATAAATAGTCTAATAGGTTTCATGTATCTGTCTATATTGTAATCATGTATTCAACAAAATCCCTCCGCTTGATCTAGACTCTTGCCTCCAAGACAAGTCAATACTTGGACATATACATAGAGAGAGAGAGACAGACAGACAGGGGTGCTTACAAAGAAAGAAAAAGAAATTGGAGAGAGATGATGGGTTGGATATGTGAAAAAAAAGAAGAAACACGGGTGTGCCTTCCTTCGCAATAAACCCTAAACCCTGCATTGCACACACTGAAAATACCCTTATGGCTGGCAGCTCCAGGAATTTTCACCAGGGTAGACATTTTGAGGCTCTATTTGGCTACGATTTTTTTAGTCACTTCCTAACTACTTGAGCCCAAAAAATAAATAAATAAAACTGGAACAGTTGTTTTCAGCTTATTTAATTGACAATCAAGAATTATTTACTTTAATTTTTTTACAAGATTGGCAACTGATAAAAGGTCAAATTTTAAATAAAAAAAAAAATTTTTTTTAAAAAAAGCTAACTTTAGTGAATATTTTAAAATTTTATATTAATTTTTTTATTTAAAAAATAAATAAATTACTAACGAATAAATAAATAAATAAACAACTTAGCTAAACCTTCACAATAACAAAAGGCTAGCTTTTTTTAGCAACAACTTTATCTTAAAAAAACAAAAAAGTTACTAATGTATTTTAAGAGTTAGTGTGTTCTGGGTTGGGTGTTCAACAAAGTAGATCTGGGCCAACTGGTATTCAATAGAGTGGACAAGGGTGTTCAAAGTTAAAAATAAATAAAATTCAGAGAGCACACCAGTTGAAATTCTACCCCCAAACCACTCTTGGAATACCATTTTTCGACCTAAACTAAAAGCATAGTTGGAGATATGACATATATATCAGAGAGAGAGAAATATGAGATCTGAGGGAAAGCAAAAACCTGGTTTGCGCAGAGCAAGAACAAACGTTGCAGAGGCTGAGATGGAGAGATGCCTTTTCAGAGTTACGGCCGCCGGGAAGGGGGACAAGAGGAGGAGAAGAAGAACAAGAGAAAGAAAAACAAAAACAGAAACAGAAAATAGACAATCGATACGTAACCTAAAAGCTCTAATTGGGTGGGCTGCACTGTGATAACCTTGTTTGTATTTATTTTATTTTTATTTTTTTTAATTAGAGCTCTTTTATTTAGGGAATATAGGGAAATTCTGATATGTCAGGATTGCATATTAAGGAAATTTTGGTATGTCAAGAATTTGGAAAAGGAAAGACAAAATATATATATATATATAAAACATTAGAGTATGACATTGTATCTGGTTTATAGTTTATAGACCAAATTGGAAGGAGGTCTCTGTGTATAAACTTATGTCTATTTTGGCAATTAGGCAAAAAAATCAATTTATTAGTGTTTTTTGAAAAAATATTTAACAAAAAAAAAGAGTAAAGGGTGATGTGACTTTAATAAGTCAATAAGTTGGTTTTTTTTTTTTTAATTACTAAAATAATCATTAATGAAATAAATTTTTCTTACAATTTGACTCTATGAAACAAAATTACCATAATGGATATCAATACACACTAAATATTAAAACCTAATTTTATAAATATATAACTTTTAGAAACAATTATCGATGCATATCTTTTAGAGAAAAAATAACATGGAGTAATCAAATTCATAGGTATTTGAAGACATGGTGGGTGGAAAAGTGTTTTAGTGTGGTATGTGTGCATAGGGGTGAGCATGGACCGGATTGGTCCGGATTGGGAGAAAATCAGGACCAATCCGTTATCTACGGTTCCTGAAAAATTAAAACCAATCCAATCCGTTTACATTGTGAAACCAATCCGAACCAATCCGTTGAAACACGGATTGGATCGGTTTAGAACCACGGATTTAAATAAAAAATAAAAAAATAAATGGCTACAAAAAAATAAAAATAAAAAATTTGCAATTTCTGAAAATACAGTCATGCTTTTTTCTATCATTCTATGTATAGTGACAAAACAGATCATTAGGATTTCTTTTGTTAGGCTTTTCAATTTTGTAAACCAATGGCTAAAAATACTTGTTAGGAAACCATTCACTAAACTGGTTGAGGTCACAATTTTCACCACTAAGTTAAGTTGAGACCAATAAACAAAAATTATAATATATGTTAGTTTTGCACTCAGGACACAAAATGGGTCCCTTTCTTTAGGTGCAAAGCAAACAAAATGGGTCTTTCACCCCATTCTAAGAACAGAATCATTAATCATAACACAGTTCCTTAAACACAAACAGAAAAAATATGTAATCATGGATAGATGTATTCAGTTTTTAGATGCATCAGGGATAGATGGCATTTGAGGCTTTTCTGCTTGCAACATCTGGAAAAATATGTAATCATGTCTATCATTGTCTAAAAACTAACAGCAGATCCCAAAAATAAGCATTTAGGTGCAGCATGAAATTAAAAAGGAAACTCCAAGTATACAGCATATGTTTGAAATTTTATTGATTAGGTATTTAGGGAAACAACAAAAGAAAGACAGTGAATCTTTTGTCACTATTGTCACTACTGTTTCAGTTAAAGTGTTCCATAAACACTGATTTGTGCATCAATGGTTACAAACAACAGAAAATAGAAATACAAACAGAAAAAAAACAATCGATCTAAAAACATAATGAAAATAAAAACATGATGAAAACATAAAACATAATAAAAATAAAATAAAAATAAAAACAAAAAAAAAATCTCCTACTTACATTTACCGAATCCATTGTAGATGACATGAACAATCGATCTAATCTGCGATGGATGATCTGGGAACCCATTTCAGAGTGTTAGAGATTAAACCTATTTCAGAGTGTTAGAGAGAGAGAGAGAGGAGCTCACCGAAAGAGGAAGACAACAGCTATTGCTATCGATCTAATCTGAGATGCATGATCTCGGAACAAATAAACAAAAATAGTCACCGATCCGAGAGAGAGAGAGAGAGAGATGAGAGATGAGAACACCAAGAGAGAGCTCACCGACAGAAAGAGACGAGCAGCAGCACACCGATCTGATCTGAGATGGATGAGAGTGTGAGAGAGAACTCAGTCTGAGATAGGAAAGAGAAGAGAGAGAGACAGTGAGGTGAGGCTGCTGGATTAGGTTGACACTTTAGTTTTTATATCATATAAGAAATTATATGGTGTGGGAAGGTATACAGTATAAAAATATAGTAGATTATTTCTAGATGGTCCGGATCGGTTTCAATTTAGAACTGTGGAGTTCAATCCGGAACCGATCTGTGGCCTACGGGTTTTGAAATTTTCAATCCGGAACCGAACTACGGATTGAAAAAATCAATCCAAACCTATCGGATTTGACTGGACCGAATCGGATTACGGATTTTACGGATTCCTTACTCGGCCCTATGTGCAAACTATGAGCTAGTGCTATAATTGGATCATTTGGTGTATAGAATGAGCATAGTAACATATAATCAAATTCATAAAGGAAAATGATTGAGAGCCCTAAAAAAGTTGCCCCTAATACCCCTAATTTCCAATTTTGGAAACTGTTTTTTTTTTTCTTTCTTTTTTCTTTTTTTTTTTTTCTTTCTTTTTACCCGAAATGGAATTTCGAGCCATTCGGGGCTCTCCATTTCGGGCCCTCAATCACCGCCCATTCATAAATGTGGGAATTGAGATATAATGTGCACATGGATTAAATGGTGTATGAAAATAGAATTCCCTTCATATACACTCCGGTCATAAATTAGCGTAATTTTATCACAAAATACAAATTAGCGTAACAAAAAATTTTGTAACCAAGTCATAAACTTTTGTTACATAAACACAAAGTTTTGAACATTTTGCTATGCTAATATGTTGTGAGGTTATGTATTTTGCAATTAATATTACGAAATTTTGTAATAAAGTTACGCCAATTTGTATGGTATACACCTGTCACATCCTTGGAGGGTGTATACCATAGGATTTCTGGTCATATTTTCATCTGTTTTACATATATACATGACAAATAAAAGGGTAAATTACATTTAGCACCACTGCATTTAACATCTCGTTTCAGTTTATCCCTTGACCTTTAAAAAGTAACAGCCAACACCTACACTTGTAGTCAAGTTCCAATTCAACCTATTTGTTAGCCCACGTTAAATAAGACAAACGAAAAAGTAGCATGTGAATTCACATGGCCACTTTTAAAGACAATACAATAAAGGGAAAATTACACTTAACACCATGCATTTTACACTCAGTCTCGCTTTGTCCCTTATCTTTTAAAAAAGTCATAGTAAATACCTCACATTTTCGGTCAAGTTCCAATCCAACTCACATATTTACCCACGTTAGACATCTTATTTAACGTGGGTTAACAGACGTGTTGTATTAAAACTTAATAGAAACTGTGAGATGTTAACTATCACTTTTAAAAGTCACGAGGCAAAGTGAGACCAGGTGTCAAATGTAAGTAGAGAGCATAGCTACGTACAAGTGTGTGGGCAAGGATGGATATAGGATTTTAACGTAGAGAAGGCGAACATATATTCTAATGAATTTTTCTAAAAGGAAGTATAAACTACAACATTAATTTTTTAGCCAAATTTTTAGCAATTTGAGCCAATTTGTTTTCATTTTTGTTTAATTTTAATTTGTTTAATTGACAATTGAGATTAAAAAAAAATTAATAAAATCCATTATGTTTATCAATTGTTAAAAGAGTCATCTATTTTCTTAATATTTTTGTCTTTTGTTAAAAAAATATTTGCATTAAAAAAATTTATTGTTTAAGTCCGTGTAGTTTAGAAGTATATAATAAAAATAATTTATAAAATTTAAAACTAAAAACGACAAAAATAAAAATATAAACTTTTAATAGCGATTAATAATTTGAATATGTGTATTTAATAACATATTATGTTTAGACCAATAATATTATGACACATCATTATGACACATGTGAATATTGATCTCATTCTAATTGTAGTAACATAATTTAAAAAAAAAAATTAAATTTAAGATGTGTCATAATATTAAGATGGAGAGATTATGAAATATTTTTGTTATCTTTCCATTTAAAAACCATAAATTAAGGAATAATTATAATTTCTAAAATAATTAAATAAATAAATTAGCCAATAGTTTTTTTAATCTATTTTATAAATTGAAAAATCAATAATTTTAGAAAATTGATTAATTTGTCCTATTAAGTGATTTAAAATTTTGATAGATATACATAAAAAAAATAGATAATTACATTACTAAATCATAATTCAAATTTAGATATTGTCATATGTTTTTGAGATCTATATCTAAATTCTTATCTTCCTTATTTTTGTTTTATTTCTTTTTTTTTTTTCTTCAATTTATTTAAGATGGAGTTGTGGGTTTCTATTTTTTTAAAATTTATTATATCTGTAATTTCTATTTATTTTTAATTATTATTATTTAGGTAAGTTATGATGTGAGTTAGATATGTGATAGACATGTGAGTTTTATTAATTTAAAGTATGATGGTGGGAGATATTTTTAAATTAGATTTGTTTAGATAGATTTTAAAGGTTTTTTCTAATTTATATGTGGTTTTTATTTGTTTTTAATTATTATTATTTAGATAAGTTATGATGCGAGTTAGATATGTAATAGACATGTGAGTTTTATTGATTTAAAGTATGATAGTGGAAGATATTTTCTAATTAGGTTTGTTTAGATAGGCTTTAAAGATTTTAAAATTGGATATTGAGAGGTAAAAGAAAGATTTTAATTGAATAAATAAAAATCAAATTTATTAATTTTATTTGATTGTATATTTGATTTTTAATTTTTTTTTGTTATGTTATAATATAATATATAAGATATAGATAAATACCCACAACTCTCATGAAAAATATTATTTGATTTTTTAGGGGAGAAAGAAAGAAGACAAGTTTTAATATATATATATATATTTTGCAAATCGGTGAGAGAGATTAGGATGGAGAGATTATGAAATATTTTTGTTATCTTCCCATTTGAAATTCATAAATTAAGGGATAATTATTATTTCTAAAATAATTATTTATTTGTTAATCATGTGGTTTAATTTTGATGATGTCTAAAATATGATGGGATAAATTGTGATTTTTAAATATACATATTTTATATTCTTTGACACAAAATATTATCTATTTAAAATATATGTTGTATGATATATTTGTTATAAATATTTCTTAAATAGAAATTACTGTGCTATATTTGATTTTACAAAAATATTCTGAAAAATTTTACTATTCAAGTTTTGAAAAATCCGGTTGATCACTATTCATCTTTTGACAAATTTGATATTGATTGGTTGAATTATTTTGATAAATTTGATATTTCTTTTGGCAAATGTGATCTTGATGAGTTGTTTTCTTTTATAAAATTTGATATAGATGGTTGGTTATTTTTATTAGAATATATCTAAAATCTCTACAATAATTATAAGGATTTTAAAAGGGTATATATTTTCATATCTGATATAAATGCTATTTAAAGAGATTTTACTATGTATATAAATATTTAATAGAAAAATTACTGTGTAAGTTACTGTGCATAATTTGTTTTTGTTAGGAAAGTTTGAAAATTTGTTTCTACTATTTATCAAAAGCAACCTTTCGCTATTTTTTTCCACCCTCTGCCTGCAATTTTTGAAAAGAAGAAATTGATTGACCCATTGTCTTCCAACGGATATGAAGCATCACAAAGCCAGAGGAGGAGTGTGCTCTCCCACGGATATATATTTTTATTATATATAGAAGTGTTTTGGTGTGAGAAAAATAAGAAATGAAGAAAAGAAAAATTTGTTATATTGAAATATTTTCAAATATTATATTGTGTTTCATTGAGTTATATTTTCCGTGAGAAAATTTGTTAAGAGTTGAGCAAAATTGTAAATGGGTTTTCTATCCCTTACTCTTGTTATTCTTGTAAAGAGAGAGTTTTTGTGAGTGATTTTTTAGGATAAAATCACTTGGGTTAGGTGTGACTAGGTACCAGATTCAAAACTAGTTGAGAAATTTTTGTGAGTGATTTTTTAGGTAAAATTACTTGGTTAAGTATGACTAAGTACCGGATTCTAAACTAGTCGGAGTGATGAGATTGGTCACTTGTTGTGAATGTTCACTAGCACCCGTGACGCTAGTGGTGTAATTACTATTTAAAGAATAGTAGAGAAATTTTCGAGGAGGATACTTGGGGAGTGACATAAGCCTGGTGTGCCGAACCACTACAAATCGTTGAGTTCGCTTTCTCTTCCCTTTGCTCATTTTATTTTATTACTTTATTTTATATTGTTAAACATATTTTATTTATGATATTTTCCTTTGTAGTGCTTAGGAAAATAAAAATAAAAATAAATAAATAATAGTAAAGTTGCTCAGAAATCCTATCATAGTCATGATTGAAATATCAATTTAATATAAAGTGCATGTTACTGGTTTTCCCTAATTAGCCACTGTTCCATATGTATACTGTTAGGATGTATCTGCTTCTACATTATATAATTCTTATGATGTACAGTGCTTATTAATAAATGGTTATTTTTTTTTTTTTTGTGAAAGTAACATGCTAAATATGTTCTATTTTTCTAGTATAATACACGTGCATAGTTTCTAAAATTTAGTTTATGGTTCTAGAATTATTTACATGATATTATTTCTGAAATGATTTCCATGTTAATTGCTAGAAACGTTCACATGTGTATTGCATGGTTTTTGTTTGTTTAAATTCATGTGTAACTCTTACATATTAATTTAATTTACTTACATGTTTATAGTGATTTAAATTCATATGTAACTCTTGCATATTAATTTAATTCATTTACATGTTTATTGTGATTTAAATTCTATGTAACTCTAGCCTATTAAGTTTGTAGTTTAAGGTTTTGGAGTTATCAAATTTGTGTAACTTTTCCAGATTTATTTGCATATTTAATGTGTTAAAAGGTTTATTTTGTAACTCTTGCCTATTCAATATTTTTTAAAGTTTTAATTTAGTTGTGAAGTTACAAATTGTATTTTGTTTTGGTAATTTATCTAGCAATTTAATTCTTTGGTTTTATTATTCAATAATTGGCTAGATGATTTCAATTAATTTATTATATTTACCTTT